CCTCCTCTTCTAGCACTGGAAGCTGTTTAGGTTCGGTAATGAACACTCCATGGAAGCTGGTATTAAGGAATTCTTAATCGAGAATTATGGGTTCGAATCCCGAGCAGGGTAGAAATGGTTGGGCACATTTCCTTTCGCCTAAGGGTTGCATCCTCTGCTGGGTCAGTAATTCCACTTGGTTGGTTAACTAGCAGGGGGAAAGCGCCAAGCCATTGCGACTATATAGCACATAGAAGGGGCTAGGATAAGGATTCGGCATGGGACGGGGGAAAGGAATGGTGCCCCATCACTTGTGGACGGTCGGAGATTGAACGCCGACCTGCATGAAGCGAGACCGTCGCTCTACCGTCCAGCCCAAGTGGTTGGACAGGGGTGTTCCCAGATGCACACTCTAGTCATTGGATTTTGGATGTTCTCATTGATTTTCAAGAGGAAACTAGATTTATTCCTCCAAGGAGTGCCGGACCAACCGGACTGTGGTGGGTATGTGGGCCTGCGGGCCGCTCCAAGCAACAGCCTGGTGGACCAAACTCTCACAAGTCAAGCCTGGCCTCGGGCCGGGCTTGGGGAGTAGAAGAACTCCCAGAACCCCGTCAACCAGGTATCAAACAGGTATTAACATATGACGATAATGTATAATCAATGAATTTCTTTGATATCACATAATCAGTTATCTTGGCCTACTCCCCTTGTTACATGACACTCCCAGGTTATCTTGACTTACATGAGGATAACAGGATGTACACAGGAATATGTGTATGCTCAAGCACACATTCCTGTAGAAGGGAGTGTAAGTATAAGGGCATTTGGCTACACTTGAAACAGAAAGCAATTGACACAACGTCCTCGACTCTCCCTCTCTCTCTCAGACGCCGAGAGTCGACATCACAGAAAACATCGCAATTTAGCAAATATTTCTTCTGGCTGATGAGAGCATCATGCTACGTCTCTCTCCTGTATAGCTAATTGGCACCCATAATCTACCATTCTCTCTCTCCTGTATAGCTAATTGGCACCCATAATCTACCATTCTCTCTCTCCTGTATAGCTAATTGGCACCCATAATCTACCATTCTCTCTCTCCTGTATAGCTAATTGGCACCCATAATCTACTGTTCTCTCCCACACAGTTAATCGACACTAACCACGACGGGGCGATCACCATAGAGGAGCTGGCCAAGTGGGTGTCGAGGGACGAGACCATCATTCAGAGCCTGGCTATGATGGACACAGTTCTGTACACCCGACCTGATCCCCACGACCCCGCCCACCCTCCGCCCACACGTCAGTCACTAGGGCGGCCATGAGTCGCCGCCCACCCACACCCACACCCTCGTCTCTACCCTTCTGTGGGTGGGGAGGGTGGTGGTGCTGTGGGCGGGGCGGACATTGCAGAAGGGCGCGCTAATTCTGATAATCCTACGCCTATTTCCTCAACGGCTGTCAATCCGGATAGGGATTCAACGGAGCTTTGTCGCGATGTTGATATCCGGATGACAGCCGTTAGCTTAGAAGCAGCCTCCGATGGCAATGATGTTCATTCTTCTGTGCCTGTTGCCACGGCAACCTCCCCGCGTAATGGAGCAACTGTTGCAGGATGTAACTTTGCTACTGCGTCTACGTCGTTCAGTGCGACTAGTTCCCCGTCGTCTGTGTCTCGTACGACTGGTTCTCCTTCATCTATATCCCGTAGGACTGGTTCTCCGTCATCTACTTGTCGCACGACTAGAGCATCATCTACTTCTTCTTCATCTACTGCTTCTACATCGTCCATTGCGACAACTTCCCCTCCAGTTGCATCGCGGAAAGCTGCAGCTTCAGCAGCGTCCTCATCATCTACCTCTCGGGCATCATCTACGTCTATATCTACGAAGACCATATCCAGAAGCTCCAGGAGAAAGATTTAATAATAAACACCGTTCCAGTTTTCAGTCGTACCCCCATTTGTTGGGTTTCCATTTTTTATATTTGCTTTGAAACGTTTTCTTTCCTAACTCAAGGGGAAACTGTAATAAAGGCCAGCAACCGTTATGTCTGGCGGAGGGGCCTTCGTCGGTATAGATACCGATAAAAGGATATAGTAGTGCTGGAGCTTGGTGAATATCCGACCGGTTGTGATCTTTTGCAGCGCCATGTATTATAGGATGGTGCAGTGACAGACCAAGTGGATCTCATATATAATGGTACATCCGACCCATCACAGTTGATTTTACTAGTCAATTTCAGGCATACCCAATTTGGATTTGAGTAGTGGTAAAATCAGATAAAAAAATACATCTTTAATTTATAAGTATTCAAAACAAATGTTTTGAAGATAACACTCTATCATCAGTGTTATAAAAAATAAATTATCTGTAGTCAGCTTTAACTTCATCCACACGGTCTTTGCTATCATATATTTACCATTTAGAAAATCACCAATTTCTGAAGTCATCAGTTTCGACGTAACCTATTTCTGAGGTTATGTTGCGAGAGAACACCATACATATGTCATAATATGTGGCACTGTGCCGTTATGCAACTTTAATGTTATCAGTAAAATCACGAGGTTTACCTTCGATATCACCTCTGTTGAGTCCAGTCACTTATCACCTGTCAAGATACCAGTTTTTAGCGTCATTGCAATGAAACCAATCACAGATCGCCAGCGATGTTATGATTTTGACGTCACTGCCTGACATAGCCAATCACAAATGAGCTGTATAATCATTCTTCTGTGAAACCTGATGTGGACCTGATCGCTATTTTAGATCATAAACAAATTATATATAACAATTACTCGTAACAGAGAACTTCCGGTGTTATTTAACTTGGACCTTTTTATTAAAAGTGTGGTCCATATATCGGAAATTTATTGTAAAGTGAATATCTATGAGTTTTTGGTTGAGATTTAGCCACATATGTAAATAATTTCTTCTCGCTGTTGTGTGGCCATATTTTCTCTTTTATATGTGAGTGTGAGGCGAATTTCTCGTCATATGTCGCTGTTACGATGCTTTTTGATATGATCTGTTAGTATATCTTGGGCAAGTATGTTAGGAATTGTTTATGTACATGGGGAAGTATGTTGGGAACTGGTTATATAAATCGGGGAAAGTATGTTAGGGCAATTTTATATTCCTTGGGAAAGTAAGCCAGGTTTGGAATAGTTAGGAACCGTTTATACTTAAGAAAAGTTAATTTGTACTCTCGGAAAGTTAGGAATACTTTATATACCTTGGGCAAGATGGGAACAGTTTATATAACTTGGAAAAGTTAGGAACAGTTTATATACCATGGGAACGATATGAGCAGTATATGTACTTTAGGAAAGTACGTAAGGAGTCCAGAGAAGTAAATAATTGAGACTGTGAGCCTTCTGCCCTGTTTATCAAAGGCTCATAATCCCATTGTTGTATGATTTGATGATGTATACATATATATTGTGTCTGTATATTGTATGGGACGGCGTGTAAAATGTCTGTTTGGTGAATGTATTAATTTGTTGTGTGCAACATTTTATGTTATCTATATTTATCTTGCGAAGAAACAGTTTATAAGTTTGGTTTGGTGTTGAACTTAAGGCCTAGCTATCATCTCGGTGTATATATTTATATATTTTATATATTATTGTCGGGTTAAACGGGCACTACAGGTGTTCAGTCATTGGTAATGGTTAGAAAATGGCTGAGCAAAGTTTTATATTATGGTATACAATATAAAAATTGTAGGGAAGACTGTGGTAAAAACTGGAATAACAGCAGTGGGAGACTATGGTAAAATTTTTAATGATAGGGGGGACCTATGATAAAAACTGTTGTGATATTAGTAGGGTCTATGGTAAAAACTATAATGATAGTAGGGGGTACTATGGTAAAAACTATATAGATAATAGGAGTATGGTAAAAAAAAATGTAATGATAGTAGGGGGGGACTATGGCAAAAAAATATTGATAGAAGGGGAAACTATGGTAAAATATATTGATAGAAGGGGAAACTATGGTAAAATATATTGATAGGAGGGGAAACTATTGTAAAATATATTTATAGGAGGGGAAACTATGGTAAAATATATTGATAGAAGGGGAAACTATGGTAAAATATATTGATTGGAGGGGAAACTATTGTAAAATATATTGATAGGAGGGGAAACTATTGTAAAATATATTTATAGGAGGGGAAACTATGGTAAAATATATTGATAGAAGGGGAAACTATGGTAAAATATATTGATAGGAGGGGAAACTATTGTAAAATATATTGATAGGAGGGGAAACTATTGTAAAATATAGTGATAGGAGGAGAAACTATGGTAAAATATATTGATAGAAGGGGAAACTATGGTAAAATATATTGATAGAAGGGGAAACTATGGTAAAATATATTGATAGGAGGAGAGACTATTGTAAAATATATTTATTGATATTATGACGGGACTGTAGTAAAAAATGTAGTGAGAGTAGGGGGGAGACCATGGTAAAAAATGTAATCAGCGTAGAGAGTGGAACTATGGTAAGAATAGAAAGATAGTAGCGGAAACTGTGGTGAAATTGTAAGCAAAGAAAGACTTCAGCATTGTAAGACATTGGGGAAAAAAAAACATGAATTAATTTTAATACATATATTAAAACATTCATGAAACTAATGAGATTTGAATGATTAAATATATTTTAAATGAACGTTAAAAAAACAACATTTTATTTAGTGTTTAAAGAAGAAAATGGAGGGAATATAGTCATAATATTTAAAATAAAATATTGAACTTCCAAGATTCATAATTATAGATATTAACTATATAAATAGTATTGTGTGTTATACATAGTTACAGATACCTAATTCATATTTCCTTTTATCTCTATACTTCAGTTTGGTGTTGGGCTTAAGGCCTATGGGTTGCAGGGTTGTTAAGGCCTCTGTAATAGCTCAATGACCGACTAGCAAGTATACTTTAATCTTCAACATAGTCCAGGCTGAAGTAAACTCAGTGAGGATGTACACCAATAAGTATACCACTGTCCATGGTGTAAACCTTGCAAAGTTATATTAGATTCAGCTACTCGGATCCAAAAAAGTTCCAAGTAGCACGGGCTATGGTGATCCCGTAGTGCACTTGTAAACCTTTAAAGTACTTAGAACCCTGTACTGTGTTGTACTGATGACATCAAACTTTCAGACGAACTTTTTACACAGTATTGTAACTTAAGCTTTGTATGAGGTATTTATCACTACCAGTCTTGCTACTTTGTAATGGTGTGCTCTCTAATATATGTACTGCTCATTCTGTACAGGCATTCGCTACGTTTATTTGACACTAGAGACGATCACTCTATAGACGAGGTCGTTATATAGAGGTGATTGCTCAGTATAGATGGATGGTTCAATACAAATATGGGGCCAGCTTCACGAAGCAGTTACGCAAGCACTTACGAACCTGTACATCTTTTCTCAATCTTTGGCGGCATTTTTTTACAATTATTAAACAGTCAATGAGCTCCGAAGCACCAGGAGGCTGTTTATAACAATAACAACAGTTGATTGGCAAGTTTTCATGCTTGTAAACTGTTTAATAAATGTAACCAAAGCCGCCAAAGATTGAGGAAAGATGTACACGTTCGTAAGTGCTTGCGTAACTGCTTCGTGAGTTCATGGTCGCTGTACAGAAGGGATTGCTCAAGCAATTTGGTCTTTCTATAGATTCGAAAACTATTATACTGACGAACTTCGAATAATCTGTTATGCACTTCTAAAATAAATTATTTTATCACTTTTTTTAGTAGCTGTCTAGATCTATTCTGCATCTCAAAATACATTCTCTGGTCACTACAAATGTTTATGAAATATCAAAATACATTCTCTGGTCACTACAAATGTTTATGAAATCTCAAAATACATTCTCTGGTCACTACAAATGTTTATGAAATCTCAAAATACATTCTCTGGTCACTACAAATGTTTATGAAATCTCAAAATACATTCTCTGGTCACTACAAATGTTTATGAAATCTCAAAATACATTCTCTGGTCACTACAAATGTTTATGAAATCTCAAAATACATTCTCTGGTCACTACAAATGTTTATGAAATCTCAAAATACATTCTCTGGTCACTACAAATGTTTATGAAATCTCAAAATACATTCTCTGGTCACTACAAATGTTTATGAAATCAGTAAAGACAAGTCTCTCTGACTTAAGTGATTACATATCATTCTAAGTAATTTCTCAACATTTTAAGTAACTACTGCGCAAAAACTACTTTTATTCCTCAACTATATGCAACTCACCTGTGATGTATTTCTTACTTAAATGTTACTTTAAGTGTTTCAGTCTTACTTAATGACTACAATATTTCTTAGACTTACTGAAGGATGAGCTAGGCTCCCTCTGGCTCTGCGCTTGATCAACTGCTGCTAAATCTTGTAGTGGGTTTGTTGCAACCAATCAGAGCTCGTGTTCAGCGCTGCCAGACGCACCATAATCCTGGTCCAGCCAATCAGAGCTCGCGTTCAGCGCTGCCAGATGTACTATAACCCTAGTCCAACCAATCAGAGCTCGCGTTCAGCGCTGCCAGATGCACCATTAGTCTGGTCCAACCAATCAGAGCTCGCGTTCAGCGCTGCCAGATGCACTATAACCCTAGTCCAACCAATCAGAGCTCTCGTTCAGCGCTGCCAGATGAGCCATCACTCTAGTGCAACCAATCAGAGCTCGCGTTCAGCGCTGCCAGACGAGCCATCACTCTAGTGCAACCAATCAGAGCTCGCGCTCAGCGCTGCCAGACGAACCATCACTCTCGTGCAACCAATCAGAGCTCCAGGCAGGTTTAAGTTCATAAAAATACTTACATAAATCCTTCCTAAACTCTCTCTCATGCCAGTGTATAAAATACACACTCTAGCATGTATACTTTTAAGGATATATACATATGTTAATACACTTTCACTGCAATTAATCTCAAATATGTTATTACTTTGTGTATTGTTAAATTTTCTTGTATTTCACATATGATTAACCCGGTTGTTGCTGTTTGCATTGTACATGACACACGAGACATGATTAATTTTTGCAGATAAAAGCAATAATGGCAATATATTTCTCACGGATTGGATCTCTCTCACTAAAAGCTAATCTTCCTCAGTAAAGACTTATCGTTATTAATAAAGACATCTTTCTCAATAATGACGTCATCTTCCTCAATAAAGACTTCATCTTTCTCAATAAAGACTTCATCTTCCTCAATAAAGACTTCATCTTCCTCAATAAAGACTTCATCTTCCTCAATAAAGACTTCATCTTTCTCAATAAAGACTTCATCTTCCTCAATAAAGACTTCATCTTCCTCAATAAAGACTTCATCTTCCTCAATAAAGACTTCATCTTTCCCAATAAAGACTTCATCTTTCCCAATAAAGACTTCATCTTCCTCAATAAAGACTTCATCTTTCCCAATAAAGACTTCATCTTTCCCAATAAAGACTTCATCTTCCTCAATAAAGACTTCATCTTTCCCAATAAAGACTTCATCTTTCCCAATAAAGACTTCATCTTTCCCAATAAAGACTTCATCTTTCCCAATAAAGACGGCACAAATAAACTCAATAAAAACTCTGAACTGAAATTGTCTGAACTGAAGACTGAATTTTTCCTCACTAAAGTCGCATCTTCCTCAATAATGTCTCTATTTTTCTCAGCTAAGATGTTGTATTTCTCACTGTATTTCTCACTGTATTTCTCACTGTATTTCTCACTGTATTTCTCACTGTATTTCTCACTGGGAGAGAAACTTGTGGCTGGAACAGGCTGATGTACATTGGGTAATATTTCATACACTATAAATACCGTATAAATGTATATACATATATACATACACATATATACATACATACTCATATATACACATATATACATAAATATTTATATATTTTAACGATACACTTAATTGTTATTATATCCAATTAATACTCCATGAATAAAAATGATCACACTATCAAGGGGTCGTTTTATTAAGGTCTTGCTTAGGTTAAGGTGAGGCTATGGCCTTTATAACGAGGTATTTGCCATCCGTTATATCGAGGCCCTCGATGCCAAGAGCAACTCTTGGACCGTTATATCGAGGTCCTCCATGATTTATGTTTATACCATTAAGATGGCTGGTAAGAGTCCTGGTCAAGTGGTAGCGATTGGGCACTGGTTCATAAAGTTGTTCAGCCTCTCTCCACCCGATAGTGATTGAACTGAACGTGTTCAGCTCAATTCTGAACTGATTTGAAATATTCTTCTATATTTCATAATATTCTAATATTATGAATTGAATATTCTTCTTCTAATATTCTTATATATTTTTGATCTAGGTTCTAAACATGACGTAATGCTAACTAACCTGATTTTATGCTAACTAACCTGACCTTATGCTAACTAACCTGACGTAATGCTAACTAACCTGACGTAATGTTAACTAACCTGATTTTATGCTAACTAACCTGACCTTATGCTAACTAACCTGACTTAATGCTAACTAACCTGACCTAATGCTAACTAACCTGACTTAATGCTAACTAACCTGACGTAATGCTAACTAACCTGATTTTATGCTAACTAACCTGACCTTATGCTAACTAACCTGACTTAATGCTAACTAACCTGACCTAATGCTAACTAACCTGACTTAATGTTAACTAACCAGACGTAATGCTAACTAACCTGACTTAATGTTAACTAACCTGACGTAATGCTAACTAACCTGATTTTATGCTAACTAACCTGACGTAATGCTAACTAACCTGATTTTATGCTAACTAACCTGACGTAATGCTAACTAACCTGATTTTATGCTAACTAACCTGACGTAATGCTAACTAACCTGATTTTATGCTAACTAACCTGACGTAATGCTAACTAACCTGATTTTATGCTAACTAACCTGATTTTATGCTAACTAACCTGACATAATGCTAACTAACCTGACGTAATGCTAACTAACCTGATTTTATGCTAACTAACCTGACCTTATGCTAACTAACCTGACGTAATGCTAACTAAACTGACGTAATGCTAACTAACCTGACGTAATGCTAACTAACCTGAGTTTATGCTAACTAACCTGACGTAATGCTAACCTGACGTAATGATAACTAACCTGACGTAATGCTAACTAACCTGACGTAATGCTAACTAACCTGACGTAATGCTAACTAACCTGACCTTATGCTAACTAACCTGACCTTATGCTAACTAACCTGACCTAATGCTAACTAACCTGACCTTATGCTAACTAACCTGACCTAATGCTAACTAACCTGACGTAATGCTAACTAACCTGACGTAATGCTAACTAACCTGACCTAATGCTAACTAACCTGATTTTATGCTAACTAACCTGACCTTATGCTAACTAACCTGACCTTATGCTAACTAACCTGACATAATGCTAACTAACCTGACATAATGCTAACTAACCTGACCTTATGCTAACTAACCTGACATAATGCTAACTAACCTGACATAATGCTAACTAACCTGACATAATGCTAACTAACCTGACATAATGTTAACTAACCTGACCTAATGCTAACTAACCTGACGTAATGTTAACTAACCTGACCTTATGCTAACTAACCTGACTTAATGCTAACTAACCTGACCTAATGCTAACTAACCTGACCTAATGCTAACTAACCTGACGTAATGCTAACTAACCTGACCTTATGCTAACTAACCTGACCTAATGTTAACTAACCTGACCTAATGCTAACTAACCTGACCTAATGCTAACTAACCTGACTTAATGTTAACTAACCTGACTTAATGCTAACTAACCTGACTTAATGTTAACTAACCTGACTTAATGTTAACTAACCTGACTTAATGCTAACTAACCTGACTTAATGCTAACTAACCTGACTTAATGTTAACTAACCTGACTTAATGCTAACTAACCTGACGTAATGCTAACTAACCTGACATAATGTTAACTAACCTGACCTTATGCTAACTAACCTGACCTAATGCTAACTAACCTGACCTTATGCTAACTAACCTGACCTTATGCTAACTAACCTGACGTAATGCTAACTAA